AAACCAATACTCAAGAAAGTTCTGAATATGTAGACAATTCAGAACCAGCAGAGAATGAGACTCAATCAAGCCCATTCCATAATGGTCAACAAAGTGGCCCTGATCACTGGAATTTCTCACCTCTAAAGAACAGGGAGACAAATTCTTCTCCAGAAGCAGTGAAAACAGGAGATATTTGTGAAGTGAAGACGTGGCAAATATCTCCCCAAACTGAACCACAGACTTCAAATACTTCTAAACTGGAAAGGCTTGGCTTCTCAGCTGAGAATGTGGAGTGGTGGACTGCCTCTCCACAGGAAGGAAGACCAACTGAGAGGGCATTTGAAAGAGAACTGCCAAACTCAAGTGATGTGTTAGAGAAGAATTCTTCAGTTTACCAAAATGTGGATCCTTGGGGAATACCCATTCGTGGTGATGTTGAATCCATGGAAACATATTGTGCCAATCCTTTCAAGGATAAACATCAAGCCACCTTTCTGGATAGTAATGGAAAGAACTCCCAAGAGCTACTTTGGAACATCCAACCAAAAGAACTAGACTCAGATGCTGATGAGCTTAACCAGCTTGAAATATTGGACCAGATTAAAGAAAAGGATTCCAGAGAGCAAATCTCCATATCCTCTGCTGCAGATGAACTCACTTCTGAAACACATACCCCGGAGCAATGTCAGGATACCATATTGCCAGGCGGGGATCAGCCAGACCCAATGTTGACAGGTGAAAATGAATGTGTTATATCTCATGTTTCCACTTTTGAATGCCAAGAAACAAACTGGTGGGAACAAGAAGAATCATACACCAGTGAAACTACCAATTCAAACATTGCCTCAGAAAATGTCCCTGTGGTCAGTTCGCCTACCCAATTGATCAGTAAGTCACACTCAGGGTGGTGTGATTCTAACCCTAGTGAGAGCCCTCAAGGTACATTTGCGCCAGATGTTTTACCTGGCAATTTCCAAGAGCCTGGGCAGCTGGCCTCAGCTTCACCTGATTTGTGGATAGATGCAAAGCAGCCCTTGGGTTCGAAAGCAGGCGGTGAGAATCCTGATATACTGACTCACTGTGACCATGAGAGTAATTCGCAGGCTTCCAACAGTTCTGATGTATATCATGACTATGAAGCAAAGAAGGAGACAGAGCACCAAGTCTGTGCCTGGATGGGACCTGAAGTGGAATCCATTGAGTTATATGTCACTGAACCGAAGGTAGATGAAGGGCCCAGTCAGGAGCCTGGGCAGGAATTGGTCCCATACAAGTCAGGACTGTATTCTGAAAATGCCATTCCACTTTTTGCATTCAGTAAGCAAGCAAACAGTAGTAGCATATCTCAGCCTGCCTCTCATGAAGTTTCTCTGGAACCTTCTGAAATAAATAATGAAAACAATACAGATTCAAATGCAACCGAAATCAGAACCAGCCCAGATGTACCAGCAGTTTTGGAATCTTTTGACAGAACAATCCCAATAATTGAAAATATGGGAACCAAAATTGTTGTGACTCACCCAGAGCCAGCTCTGGATGGCAATAACCACTGGGTATCAGAGGACTTTGCCCCTGAGAGTCCGAGAGATGCAAGGGCCTTGCTTGACTATGAGCAAATTTTTGCCACTGAGAATCCTGCCCAGGTTACAGATACTCTGCTGGTCTCAGACACATGTCTCGATGTAAGCGAAGCTGCCTTCGACCACAGTTTCAGTGATGCCTCAGGTCTCAACACATCCACAGGAACAATAGATGACATGAGTAAGTTGACATTATCAGAAGGCAATCCTGACACACCAGTTGATGGGGATGCAGGAAAGCAAGATATCTGTTCATCTGAAGCCTCTTGGGGTGATTTTGAATATGATGCAGTGGGCCAAAATATTGACGAAGACTTACTGAAGGAGTCTGATCACTTTCTCTATGGTGTTGACCCTCCATTGGAGGAAGACATTCTGAAGCAACCGCTGGCCCCGTACACACCTCCCTTTGATTTATCTCATCTCACAGAACCTACTCCTGGTGTTGAAAAGACAGAGGAAGCTGGGTCTCCAGAGAATGAGTCTCTTGGGAGTGAAGTTGCAGAGCTATTGCTTTCTGCCTTGCCTGATGAAAAAGGCAAGGAAAACCACACCGAGACCCAAAGCAGCCAGCCTGGACTGCAGCTGGTGATGCTGCATATCCGTGAAGACTCTGAATCCCTTTCATTGCCTGTGAGAGGAGGCGCCAATGTTGAGTTGTCTCCATCCAATGACATTGACTGGGACATAGAAACAGATCATTCATATTCACCAGCAGGTGGAGACATAGGACCATCAAATGGTAAGAAATGTCCCTCTTCAAGAACCCAAAGAAACTAGTTAAATCCATTCTGTTAATGCATGTGTAAGATATTTCTTCCTACCAGTGTGGCTAGACAGGAGCTAACTATATTTGTGATGCATGCGTAACCATGTCCTGAGTAACAGCAGTGATATGGAACATAGACAGAGTAATCATCCCTGATAGTTCATGAAAAAATTAAGCAGCTCTACAAAAGAAGAGTATTTCTTAAAATATCTCGCTTTAGATGGATTATTTTTGTACAGATCACAAATCGTATAATGTGTTAATTAAGTTGCATTCTCCCTTTTCACTTTCATCTTCCACTTCCAGGTGCCAATAAGGGGTTATTAGACTTAGAAGAAGCAAAAATAACTCCTACAAAAGACCCTGAGCAACTAAAGTCAGAATACAAGGAAGAAAGATGCACAGAGAAGAATGAAGACCATCATGCCCTACACATGGATTACATACTTGTAAACCATGAAGAACATTTGCCTCAAATGCCAGAGATCTGTGAAGCAAGAGAAAGAACAATTGAAGTAGAAGAATCTCACATGAATGCTGAAGAAAAGGCTCTGCCAGAAATACAGTTACCAAGTTTCCAAGACACATTAAAGTCAGCTTCCTTAAATGAAAGTAAAGATCATTCTTTAGAGAGACTTGGTTCTACAGAGGATAAGACATCTTCTCCGGAAAGCCCTGGGCAAGACCAGGGTTGGATGGTCTTGAATCACAATGAGGTTGGTGATCCGATGTCAGAAGAAAGTTCCAGTCAGCCAGAAGCCAGGATCTCAGGGTCTGGATGGTCTTCTGAGGCTGTGAAGCCAGCCTCAGATCCCAGCCCAGGCAAGGGTTACCAGATGCAGGTTCTGGGAGAAGTGAAGCCTATAGAATCCTTAGCACTAGAGGAAGCCTCTGATCTGAGCAGCCAATCAAGGAAGACCAAGAGCCAAGGCAGGGTTGGGCCGGATGCTACTGTGTTGCCGACTGTCACCCATGACAATGAATGGGAAATGCTTTCACCACAGCCTTCTCAGATAAACATTATCCCTGAAGCGGAAATGGAGGAGGAAACAGAGTTCTTTGAACACAGAACGAGGAAACCAAGACCAAACGGGTAAGCAAAAAGCTAGATTACTATTTTTCTGAAAATCATTTTATTTAGAAACTGAAAAACAACAAAATTATGGGATATATACATGATAGGAGCTTTGCTTATATTTATTGCAAAACATGCCATCAGCAAAAACAACTTCTAGATAACCATAATGATGATTTGTGTCTATTTTCAGCCTCTAAACCCTTTCAATTGCTATCCAGATTCTTGTACCCACCTTCTATTCCTGTACCCTCACCCCCCACCTACTCTTTTTTTTTTGTCCTCCTTTGTCTTCTTCTTTATTTTAAACAGACATTGAGATTGGGTGGGAAGGAAGCATTACCATTTATTCCACATTTACTATGTACAAGGCAGTTTGCACACATTATTTCATTTAATCTTCACAACCCTGAGGTGTGGTAGGTATTATTATCTTTATTTTACACAGGTTGGTAGAAGACGGCAGTGGGTGGCACTTGACTCTTAGTAAGGTGCTATAACTTGCTTTCAATGAAGTAACCGGGTGAGCACTCTGGGATTCGAAACATTACACTTCTGAAGCAAACCGGTACTTGTCTAGACTGCTGTCAGTCTGACACCAATGGAGCTTCTGGCTTTATGAAAGAACCTTAGTCTTAAGAGTGGAGTCCCAGGATGGTGCAAATGATTAACACACTTAGCAGCTAACTTGAAGGTTGGAGCCTGGAGTCCACCCAGAGGTACTTTGGAAGAAAGACCTGGTGATTTTCTCCTAAAAAACAGCCACTGAAAATCCTACAGTTCTACTCTGACACACATGGGGCTGCCATGAATCAAAGTCAACTCGATAGCAACTGATTTTACTTACTACTAGGAATCGACTTGACGGCACTCAACAACAACAACAACAACAATAGGAGTGAGGAGTGAGGAGATTCCACAGAAGCCTCAAAATCTTAGTGTGAAATAACCATTCCTCAGTTGAGAAAGAATAGGCTAAAGAATTGATAAACTGCATTAAATCAATGATTTGATCATTCATTCATTCACCATTTGGTTTTTGAGAGTCTGTATAAACTTAACCAAACAAGGTACCATCAAGTCAGTTCTGACTCCTGGCGACCCCAAGTGTGTCAAAATAAGAACTGTGCTCTACAGGGTTTTCATGGGTGGACTTTTATTCTGAGGCACTGCTTGGTAGACTTAAACCACCAACCTTTTAAGTTAGTAGCCAAGCGCTTGACCAATTGCACTATCCAGGGACTCCAGTACATTTGTAGGAAACAGAACATCATTCCTCCCTTCAAGCTTCAGGATTTGTGGAAACTCTTAAGTCTTTCATTTCTTCTCAGTTGCCTTTATAAAACTCTCTTGCTTTCAGAGACTAACTCTGAAAATAAATTTAAGTGAAGAGGGGAAAACCATTTTTCCTCCTTAAATTGTGGTGAAAAAAATGATGTCTCCTTCCTCCTCATTTTGTGTGTAGAAAGGACTATGAGTCAAGAAACCTGGGCTCAAGCCTGGCTCCCATTAACCAGTTATATATTTTGGGATTAACTTGAGTCTTATGTTTCCTCATCTGAAAATCAGTGGGTAGAGAGAAGATTTCAAATCATCCTTTAATATTAAATTCTATGAACTTAATTTGTGTGTAAACAGGATACAGCCAGGATAGCCTTGACATTCATGAATTACAGTTCTGGCTGAAAGGAACTGAGAAAACAGAGGAGCAGTTGTAGATTGAGGGTTAATAAAGTGCCTAAGGAGTTAAAAACTCTACCATATTCAAGTGCAGCTTCATAAATCCATTCAATTTCAGTTGGCTTCATCTTTCTTCTTAACCAAGCTATTTTCTTCCGGAGAGACTCCAGACCCTTTATGAGAAAGAGAGCAGCAGATGGATCCCAGTATCCCTGCTGGGATTCTTACAGATTGAGCTCAGAACACAAGCAACCTTGAGCTAGCTGAGCTATTGTTTGGCTTCTTGTCTACATTTTGTACTTGTCCCTGAAATTTAATAGACGACAGTGTTCAACTATCACTAGCACCTTTTCTTTCAATAAAATTTCATTGCTCATTCTTTTATGCTGGGGAGTTGTTGCTGTTGAATCGATTCTGACTCACAGCGATCCCATGCACAACAGAACAAAACCCTGCCTGGTCCTGCACCATCCTCCCAACTGTTGTTATATTTGCTGCCTCTGTGTCAATCCATGTCGTTGAGGCTCTTCCTCTTTTTCACTGACCCTGTACTTTCCAAGCATGATGTCCTTCTCCAGGCACTGGCTCCTCCTGATAACATGTCCAAAGTATAAGAGATGAAGTTTCAACATCCTCATTTTCATGGGCATTCTCACTATACTTCTCCAAGATAGATTTGTTCATCTTGGAGGCAATTGTTGTTACATGCCATAGAGTTGGTTCCGACCCATAGCAACCCTGTACAGGGTTTCCGAGGCTGTAAATCTTTACAGGAGCAGAAAGCCTCATCTTTCTCCCACGGAACAGCTGGTAGTTTCGAACTGCTGACCCTGAGGTTAGCAGCCCAATTCATAACCACTATAATACTGGGGGCAGTAGGGAGGGATTAAAACTTTTCTCTTTGCATTTGTTATAAAAACGAATTAATTGTTTTAATAAAATTTCTCAAATAAATATTTTGCACTGAATGTATTTGAAAGCCTCCTTTCATGTAAGGCTCTTAGCTAAGTTTTGGGAGGAGACAGAGTTGTCCAAAACAGTGATTCTCAGAGTGGGTTCCCCAGACAAGCAGCATCAGTGTCACCTGGGACACTTGTTAAAAATGCATATTCTCAGAAGCTTTGGCAGTGGGGCCCAGCAATCCGTATTTTAATTCTTCGAAGTAATATGGATACATACCAAACTTTTGAGAACCACTGATTTAAAAATACGTTCCCCGCTCTCTAGGAATGCACAGTTTAATTAGGAAAGGTATGACCGAAGTGAGAAGATGGAAGACCATGTAAAATGTCCGTCAAGACATTTAATGATCAGTGTCACTGTAAATATTAGCCAGTTGTCATCAAGTTGTTTCTGACTCATGGCAAACCCAAGTGTTAGAATAGAACTGTGCTCCCTACAGTTTTCCATGGTTATTTCAGAAGTAGATCATCGGTCCTTTCTTTGCAATGTCTGGATATATTTGAACCTCCAGTCTTTGAGTTAGCAATCAAATGCGTTAACTTTTGATTAATTGTTGCTTTGTTCTGTTGTGCATAGGGTCGCTATGAGTCGGTACCGACAGCCCGGTCCTGGGCCAAACTCACAGTTGTTGCCATGCTTGAGCCAATTGATGCTGCCACTTTGCTAATCCATCTCGCTGGGGTCTTCTTCTTTTTTCTGACCCTCCACCTTACCAAACATGATATCGTTCTCTAGTGACTGGTCCCTCCTGACAATATATCTGAAGTATGAGAGATGAAGTTTGGCCATCCTGGCCTCTAAGGAGCACTCTGGTTGCACTTCTTCTAACATAGATCTGTTAGTTCTCTTAGCAGCCCTTGACACTTCCAATATTCTCTTCCAACACCACAACTCAAAAGCATCAATTCTACGGTCTTACTTATTCACTGTCCAGCTTTTGCATGCATATGAGGTTATTGAAAATACCATGGCTTGGGTCAGTCAGATGCACCTTAGTTCTCAACAGGTTTGCTTTTCAACACTTTTTTTAAAGGCCGTGTGCAGCAGATTTGCCTAATGCAATACGTCATCTGATTTCTTGAGTGCTGCTTCCTTGAGTGTTGATAGTTGATCCAAGAAGAATGAAGTCCATGACAACTTCAGTCTTTTCTCCATTGACAAGAATGTTGTTTATTGGTCCAGGAGTGAAGATTTTTGTTTTCTTTACATTGAGATGCAATCTGAAGGCTGTGCTCTTTGATCTTCATCAGTAAATACTTTAAGTCCTCTTCACTTTCAGCAAACAAGGTTGTATCATCTGCGTATCACAGGTTGTTAATGAGTCTTCCTCCAATCCTGATGTTATGTTTTTCTTCATATAACCCAGCTTCTTGGATTATTTGCTCAGCATACATGTTAAATAAGTATGGTGAAAGAATACAACCCTGTTGCACACTTTCTTAATTTTAAACCATTCAGTGTTCCCATGTTCTGTTTGAACAACTGCCTCTTGGTCCATGTACAGATTCCTCATGAACACAATTAAGTGTTCAGGGATACTCATACTTCACAATGTTGTCCATAGTTTGTCATGATCCACACAATTGAAAACCTTTGCGTAGTCCATAAAGCACAGATAAACATCTTTCTGATATTCTCTGCTTTCAGCCAAGATCCATCGGACATCAGCAGTGATATCCCTTATTCCACGTCCTCTTCTGAATCTAGCTTGAACCTCTGGACGTTCTCTGTCAATGTGTGCTTGCAGCTGTTTCTGTATTACCTTTAGTCAAACTTTACTCGTATGGGATATAAAAAATATTGTCTGATGATTTCCACATTCTGTTGGGTTTCCTGTCTTTGAAATGGGCACAAATATGGATCTCTTCCAATCAGTCGACCAGATAGTTGTCTTCCAAATTTCTTGGCAGAGATGAGTGAGTGCCTCTAGTGCCACCTCATTTTCTTGAAAGATTTCAATTTTTATTCCATCAGTTCCTGGAACCTTGTTCTTTTCCAATTCCTTTAATGCTCCTTGGGCTTCTTCCTTCAGTATCATTGCCTTTTGAGCATATGCTACCTCTTGAAACGGTTGAACATCAACCATTTCCTTTTGGTACAGTGACTCTGTGTATTCCTTCCATCTTCCTTTGATGCTGTCTGCATCATTCAATAATTTGCTCAGAGAATCCTTCAGTAACAAAAGTCAAGGCTTGAATTTTTTCTTCAGTTCCCCCAACTTGAGAAATGCTGAGCGTGTTCTTCCTTTTTTGGTTTTCTGACTCCAGATAGTTGCATATTTCGTTGTAATGTTTGACTTTGTCTTGTTGAGCTGACCTTTAAATTTTTCTGTTCAGCTCTTTTACCTCCTATTTTCTTTAGCATCTCTACACTGG